TTCAGTACCACTCTTTCAGCAATTGTTAAGTCATTATAATAAGCTAAGTAGGGGTGTCTGGGTGGTTCAGTCAGTTAAATATCTGACTCTCGATTTTGGCTCAGGTCATAATCTCACAGTTTGTTGGTTTGAGCCCTGTCTGTGCTGACCGTGCGGGGCCTACTTGGGATTCTGTCTCCCTCTCCCTGTCCCTCCCCTGCTCTCTCTCTCTCTCTCTCTCTCTCTCTCTCTCTCTCTCTCTCTCTCTCAAAAATAAATAAACTTAAAAAAAAAAAAAACAGGGGCACCTGCCTGGCTCAGTCAGTTGAATGTACAACTTCGGCTCAGGTCATGATCTCATGGTTCATGGGTTCAAGCCCTGTGACGGGCTGTGCTGACAGCTCAGAGCCTGAAGCTTGCTTTGGATTCTGTGTCTCCCTCCCTCTCTCTGCCCCTTCTCTACTCACACTCTGTCTCTCTTTCTCAAAAATATATAAACATAAAAAAAATTTATAGGGGTGCCTAGGTGGCTTAGTTGGTTAAGCTTCCGACGACTTCACCTCAGGTCATGATCCCATGGTTTGTGAGTTTGAGCCGCATTGGGCTCTGTGCTGACAGCTCAGAGTCTGAAGCCTGGTTTGGATTCTATGTCTCCTCTCTCTGCCTCCCCCACTCATGCTCTGTCTATCTCTGTCTCAAAAATAAATAAACATTAAAAAAAATTTAAATTATTTTTTAAAAAGCCAAATAGAATTATCAGTAGCGATACAGAATATTTAAGCAACACAATCGATCAACTTGACTTAAAGTTTTTAGAACTTTCCACCCATCAGCAGAAGATCACACATTCTTTTCAAATACACACAGAATATTTTAAGAGTTTTATTCTTGGCCGTAAAACCAGTGTCAATAAATTTAACAGAATTAAAAGAGTATGTTCTCTTATACCAATGGAATTAAATCAGAAATCAGTAATAGAAAGATTTCTGTAAAATCCTGAAATATTTTGTAATTAAATAGCACACTTTTAAGTAACTCATGGGTCAAAAAGGAAGTTGAAAGGGAAATCTGAAAGTGTTTTTGACTAAAATAAAATGAAAACACAACATAGCAATATTTTGGGATGTCACAGAAAGTAATTAAGGGGGAAACATAGTACCAAATATGTATATTAGAAATGAAGAACACTGTCAAATTAAGGACATCAGTTTCTGCCTTAAGAACCTAGAAGAATATAAGTGGATGAAATCCAAAGTAAACCAAAGAATGGAAATAATAAAAGAGAAAGCACTGGTAAAGCAGAAATCAGTGAAATAGAAAACAGAAAAATATTGAGAAAATCAATGAAGTGAACAGCTGGTGCTTTGGGAAGATCAATAAAATTGATAAACTATAGCCAGACTGATGAGGAAATAAAAGAAGATACAAATTCCAAATATCAGAAACTAGAGAGGTAACATCATTCATAGTCTACAAATATGAAAAGGATAATAAGGGAATGTTCTGAACAACTTTTTGCCAATGCATTCAGCAACTTAGATGAAATGGACATGTTCCCTGAAAGAAACAAATTATTAGAAATGAGCAACTTGAATAATAATATTATCTGTTAAATAAGTTGCAGTTGTAGTTAAAAACTTTGCCACCAAAAAATCAACAAACAAAAAACTTGTAGGCTCAGTGCCTTCTAGATAAGTCTGCTAGGGTTATCATAACCAAACCACAAACTGCATGGCTTAAATGACAAATTCTCACCATTCTGGAAGCTAGATGTCTAAGATCAAGGTAATAGAGAATTTGATTTCTGGCAAGACCTCTTTACCTGGCTTGCAGACAGCCATCTTCTTGAAGTGTCCTTCCTTCATGTGTGGAGAGGTCTGGTGTTTCTACCTTTTTTTTATAAAGACACCAGTCCTATTTTATTATGGCTTCAACATAGGAATTTTGAGGGGATGCAGTTCAGTTCATAATACCTTCACTGGTGAATTCTACTAGACATTTAAGGAATAAATAGAACCTGTTTTCCACAAACTCTTCCAAAAAGTTGAAGATAAGGAAATACTTCCCAATTCATTCTATGAAACCACCAATGAACTGAAACCAAAATCAAAGACCTCACTGGAACGGAAAACTACAGATGAATGTCTCATAAACATAGATGCAAAAATCTAAATGAAATTTTAGCAAATCAAATTCATCATAACAGAGTGGGGTTTATCTGAGGAATGCAGGATTAGTTTTGATTTAAAAATTAATTACTGTAATTCACTAACAAGCTAAAAAAGAAAAACCATATCATCATCTCATTGGATGCAGAGAAAACATTTGACAACACCTAACATCCATCACACGTGAAAACTCTCAGCAAAGTAAGAATAAAGGGGAATTTTGTTAACCTGACAGAGGGCATCTACAAAAATATTTACAGGTATTATACTTAAAGACTGAATACTTTTCCCCTAAGATCAAAAATAAGGCAGGGGATGTCTGCTGTCACTACTTCTGTTGAACATTGTACCAGAGGGTTTAGCCAGTGCAGTCAGGAAAAAAATAAATAAATAAAAAGCATTCATTTGGGGAAAGAAGTAAAACTGTGTTTAGTCACAAATGACATAATCATCTATATAGAAAATCTAATGGAATCTATGTCAAAGCAAGTATAAGTGAATTTTGCACAATTAAAGGATACAAGATGAAAATACAAACATTGTGTTTCTATATTCTAGTGACAGATAGTGAAAATTGATACCATAGTATCAAAAAATATGAACTACATAGGGATAAATTTGACAAACTATTGAAAAAGACAGATACACTGAAACTTACAAAACATTATTCAGAGAAATCAAAGAAAATCTGATGGAGACAAATGGAGGTCTATTGCTTTGTTCATCAGTCAGAAGACTCAATATTGTTAAGATGCTGTTTCTCCCTAGATACTATTTATGGATTCTATACAATCCCAGTCAAAATTCCTGTATGGTTTCTTGTAGAAATTTACAGGCTGGTTCTAAAATTCAAATAGACTGCAGAGGACCTAGACTGGTAAAACAGTTAGAGGGCTTAACACTCTGCCTGATTTTAAGAATTATATAATTATTGTAACCACAACAGCATGACTTTTGCGTCAAGATAGGGAAAGCAATGTAACAAGAGTTCAGAAGTAAAACCTGAATTTTGACAAAGGGACAAGGCTTTTGTAGAGGAGAACAATTGGACATCCACATGCAACAAAATGTTATTGAATGTCTCCATATATCTTAAGAATGTTGCATTTTGTTTTGGCCCACAGTGACTTGAAGAAAAAATTGATCCTTTCAGCACTTTTTAAGAAACCTTGTAGTTAGGCATGTTTGGTGTAGGCTTTATCCTGGAGCTAGTTAAACTCCTCCTACTGAGACATGACTTGTCAATGGTTTGTCTTCCACTAATGCCCTGGTTGTTCAAAAAGATCTGTCTCCTCAGGCTGTCAGGAATGTAAATGTCACCCAGGCCTGTGTGACCTGTCATGATTATTATTTTATAGTTCTTGGATAGTTGTTCTTGCCCAGCCTCATGAAGACTCCTCCTCCATATGAGCCATTTAGTATTCAGATAATGGCCCAAGGAGTCCCTTCTTTAAATTTCTGGTACCTATTCTTTACTCCCTCATCCCTGGTATCCTGCCCTGCAAAATCTAATCACCTCAGCCTCCTGAAACTTTAATCTCTATCTCCTCAGTTCAGCAGCATCACCTTGCTATGCTTCTGCTATGTTCTGGAAAGTGCATCCAGACAGTTTCTGTCCAGCAGACAAGAAACTGGAGTGCTCTTGGGGCTCACTTTGTTTCCCTCCTCTCAGACGAGTTGTAGATGTGAACTGCCTGTTTTCCAGTGTCTGAATATTAGGGTTTTGTTTTGTTTTGTTTTACCCCATATATATTTTGTCTAGTCATGATTACAAGTGAATGTCTTCTCCAACTTAGTTTTCATTGAAAAATTTGGCATTCTTCTTAATTTGTTACCTTAATAAATTACATAACTAGAATAGCAAGTATAACTGGCAAAGATCTTAGAGTAAAGGCTACTGGGTTTTGGTAAGCATACAGTTTTCTCGTAGGAGCAGAATGCTTTGTAGTCCGGAACGGGGGGAAGCAGATTAAACGGCCAGAAGTTGGTTTCTTTTACAGTGGAACTGAATGGAGGCAGTCTAATAAAGGCAAAGCAGATAAATTATAGTCCATTAAAAAATGGGCTGCTGTACTCATTTACCTTTGTGAGAATTTAGGAGGGGTAGGTTAGCTAGATTCAAATTGGAAAAGCTATAATCAAAGCTATTTTCAAATTCGGAAAAACCACATGAAGTATTATCCATAAAAATTGACAGGACTTAGAGTATCTTATGAGGAATGGCAGTATTTTCGGAGACACGGTGGAGAAATGATATGCATAACTTGGGAAGCTATTTAAATTATATATTTTCTGGCTTAGGAGTTAAAAACTATTGTACAGATCAAGATCATATTTCTTTGTTTAATTTTATGACAGCTCTTTTTAGCAAAGAAAGAAAATTTAGCCTTCTCTTTTCTGGACTCACTGGGGTTAGTTTTTATATTTTCCTTATGTACTTCTGAGATTTTCTCATGATGGTGGTATAAGACATCTTAGTACTATAGTATTTTGGGGGGTTTAATAACATCTAGATTTAAATAATCCTTTTCACCAGAACTCTTAAAATAATCTGTTTTTTTAAAAAAGAATCTGTTAGTCTTCTAAAGTATGTACTTTTCATGGGGTTTCAATAAATATAAACTTCTTACATGATTTATAATGTATTGCAGGTGTTTTCAAACTAATGACATTTTTTCTTTCACCTTTTTGCCCGTAGGTAATATTATATAATGTTGGGTAAACGGATGCAATACTTTTTCATAATATAATTCCAGAATGTTGACTAGATTCACTCTATTACATGTATTCCTTCTGATTTTCAAATAAGGATTCTTATTTGTTTGTTTTCTTTTGTTTATTCCCTCATTGCAGGAAAAATGAAGATGAATGAAATACCTCTTTCTAACATTAACCGTAGAAACATTTTTGGAGAGAACTTACTGTATCAGGCTGCTCTGCACAATGACCCTGACCTTGTTCATCATTTTATAGTAAAAGGGGGAAATGTTAATCAACAAAGTTATGCTGGTAAGTTGGGGTTACCACCCACATTATTTTGAAGGTGGTTCGTAGTTTCTGCAGAGTCACTTCTGTGAAAGTATGGCAAAGTGGACCTGAGGCAAGTCTCACACAGAGTTTCCAGGTCATTTTCCTGCTTGAGTAGCTGATCATCATCATCTCCTTGGGAAATGGTAACGAGGGGAAAGAGGAGCAGGAGAAGAGTAGTATATTTAACCTTCAAAGATTATGCCTGCTGAGGGCCCACCAGGTGGGTCACGTGCAGTTGGCTTGCACAGAAGAATGCCTTTCTTGGGGCTGACTTGCTGGCTTTGCATGGGCATTGTTACCGTGACACTCAGCTTTGAATGGAAGAGAAGTGAGGTCAAAAGCTGAAAGAAGCTGATGGTACACTTGAGATGTGACGGAAATTGAGATAACATTGCAGGTGTATAACAGGGGCAATGGCCAGGGAAATGGAGAGAAGGGTGTATGAGATAGAGAGGGTGGGACAGGGAGCTCAGAACTTTCTTTCTACAAGGCTGGATCTCTGGTAGTCTTTTTTTGCAGAAAGAACCTTATATTCTGGACAAGAATGATTCCTTAAAGACACTTAAGTACTTAAGGCACTGAGCAGCACTGGGCCAGCCTGGGTAGTGCTTTTATGTATCCATACTTTTTCTACCATTTCTAGACTTTATGAAACAGTGCACAAAAAATGTCTGGTAGTTTTTGTTAATCTCTATCTGTTCCTTAAATTCAGGAGTAGCTCTGCATGCAGCTAACTTTACTTTATGGATTTCCCAAAAATCTCTTAACATGTTTCTTTTCATTAGCCCTTGTCTGCGCCATTAACATCCTTGCTGTCTCTTCCCTCCTTGTCTTTGGCCATTTATTGTGCACTTTCTCCTCGCTGCCCCAGGTACTTCTGTGACCTTCATGAATTCTTTATCCTTAACATACTTTTCTGACTTTTTGAAGTCTCTCTTGTTCTCTACTTTTCCTTCTAACTCTTCATCTTAGCCCTTATCTTTATTTCTGGCTATTACATCCCATAAAATTGCAGAGGGCAGTGTTGGTTGTTTTCCTAATGTTTATTTATTTTAGAGCACAAGCAGGAGAGGGGCAGAGAGAGAGGGAGACCCAGAATCGAAAGCAGGTTCCAGGCTCTAAGCTGTCAGCACAGAGCCCGATGTAGGGCTCGAACTCAGGAACCATGCATGAGATGACGACCTGAGCTGAAGTTGGAAGTTCAACCAACTGAGCCACCCAGGCACCCCTAGAGGGCAGCATTTTTAAAGACTTTGTAACTAATTGTTTCATCAGAGTCACCTGCAGTGTTTGTTTAAAATGTAGCCTTTATTTCACCCCCCCAAACACACATATTCACACCCAGTCTCACAGTCAAAATATGTAGGTTAAAACCTTGAAATCTGTATTTTAGCATGTTCCCCCAATGATTTTTATTCTCACTAAAGTTCAAGAACTACTAGCAACTACTGGCAAGAGGTGTACACCTCTATGTAATAAACCAGTTCATTGTAGTGAGCTTTTATAGTATGTCTCCTATGTGCCACATGCTGTGAAAACAGAAAGACACGTTTACTAGAAAATTTAAATATATTCTGTGATACAATCCAAAAAAAAGGTAAGTGCCTTTTGAGAAATTAATAAAATGTTACAATAACAGACCAATAGTCATGTCATAGGTTGACATTTGCATTTTAAATCCTTGTTTACATTTTATGTTATCTTTTTCTTTGATTTAAAAAACCAATTGCAGTAATTCTTCGTTTATCAAAAACAAAGGTGACGACCAGGAAATAGGCTGAAGTCTGAATACCCAAAACAGATTTCATAAAGCTTCTTCGCTAAAACTATCTCACACCAATGCTCTTAGCATTATTTTACACAGAATTCTATCTGATTCCTAAGTTTATGGCACAGTAGAAATGAAAGCAAAGATTGGCACAGACCAGGATGTTGATAATAGCAAGAAGTTTAACAACAAGGCAAGAGACAAAAAAATTAAAAATGAGAGGACACATTGTTGAGGACTGTATAATGTAGTAAAGCATGCACTTAGACCTCCGTGAGTGTTAACAATTGCTACATTAGAGCATGTAACTAATATTATGATTGTTAGGATCTTGAATCTTTATTAAAAATGTGTTAGGTTATATTTTCTTTCTGGGAAATTTATAATCCTATAAAGCTTTAAAGATATTTCCTTCAAGATGATTAAATTTTTAAAAAGAAAAAAAAATGTTCAGGGATCTTCTAACCTGTAGGGGTGCTTGGATGGCTCATTCAGTTAAGCATCTTGATTTTGTCTCAGGTCATGATCTTAACGTTTATGATTTCAGGCATTGCATCAGGCTCTGTGCTGACAGTGTGGAGCCTGCTTGGAATTCTCTTTCCCTCTCTCTCTCTCTGCCCCTCCCCCCACTCATGCTTTTGCGCGCTCTCAAAAATAAATAAATAAACTTAAAAAAAAAAAGGATCTTCCACTGGTAGATCTGGGAGATAAAAGATCTGTTGTAAAGTGTGATCCATCTTTATTTTGAAGGAGTGGTTTTATAACACAGAAGGAGTACTCCCTAAGGGAAGGGAAATTCTTTGTACATTTGATTTCTTTCCTTTTAATTTTTAATGTTTATTTTTGAGAGAGAGACAGAGTGTTGAGTGCGGGAGGGGTAGAGAGCGAGGGAGACACAGAATGTGAAGCAGGCTCCAGGCTCTGAGCTGTCAGCACAGAGCCCAACGCGGGGCCCGAACCAGTGAACTGCGAGATCATGACCTGAGCTGAAGTCGGACACTTAACGGACAGAACCACCCAGGCACCCCCGTTTGGTTTTTTTCTGTCAGATGTGTAGCCATATCTGGTCTACCATGGCTCTGTCTGCAAAATAAAGGTCCATCTGGCTTTGTGGATGCTGGGAATTTCTTTCATCCTTAAGACTGGTACTATTCATCACTGGTTCATTCTTGTTTAGGTCTCCAGAGTAGCATTCATTTTTCACTCCTTCCTTGAGGCCCCACCGTTAACTCTGAATTACTGACATGCAGTAATTCTCTTCTTTGGGAATTTTCTGCAATAAATTTAAAACAGGAGACTAGCTTTTCACTGTACATTTACCTTATGTTTTTCATCATTCTGGCTCAGGGAAAACAAACTAATCTTTTGTTATGGGTTTCTCATTCCTAAAGCAGTCATTTTTGCCCCTTTAGGAAACTAACTTTTATTGTAGTTTAATCAAAACCTAAATAAGGAAAGGAAGTTTTCTAGAAGGAAAATTATCATCTTCTTTAATAACTTTTGGATTTCTCACATTTCATTTTTCATCCTAGACTGGTGGCAGATAATCAGGTTAATCAGTATATGCGTTGATAAGCAAATTTCCACAGGTCCCGAAATCTAAACAAGTTCACACTTTTTATCAGAAAAAGTGCTGGAGGGACCTAATTTTTATGTTACATTTTTAAAAATAGGTAGTCCTTAAGTGCTTATGTTTCAAAAGTTCACAAGTGAGCTATTTATTTGAAATTTTTATGACATTATGAAAAATTGCAAACATACAGAAAAGTTAAAAAAAATCTACAGTAAGCATCTGTATACCTAATACCCACATTCTACATATTTATTTTCATCACATACTTACTATAAAGGAAGAACACTTGTGTGTTTCTCTTCTACTTTTATTCCTAACACTTGTGATATCGCATGTGTGGGTTTTGGACACATCAAGCAATTCTCCAACACCAGCTGAGTGTCCTGCAATTTAATTCATTTTTGACACTAGCCCATATTAGTACAGACTCCACAGGTTAAGGGCTCAGTCAGAAACCCCCACTTCAGATGCCAGTCACAAGTAGTAGGTCCCCAGGTTGCCCACAATTTCTGTTCAGCTTGGCTACAAATTGGAGGTTCCCACAGTCCCCTCCTCAGATTCAGTCATTTCCTAAAGTAGCTTACAGAACTCAGGGAAACACTTACTTATGTTTACCATGTAAGTTTACTTATTATTATGATAAAGGATATGACAAAGGATACAGATACAGACTAACAGCCAGATGAAGATACATAGAGTGAGGTCTGGAAGAGTCCTGAGCACAGGAGCTTCTGTCCGTGTGGAATTGGAGTGTGTTACCTTCCTAGCATGTAGTTGTGTTCACCAGTGTGGAAAAGTTCTCTGAACCCCGGAGTTTTGGGGTTTTCATGGATTCTTCATCATGAAGGCAGGGTGGGGGTTGGGAGGACATGAAACTGAAAGTTCCAAGTTTCTGATCATGGTTTAGTCTTTCTTATGACCAGCCCCAACCTGGGAGTCCACCAAAAGTTGCCTCACTAGAACAAAAGATATTTTTATCACCCAGGGAATAAGGGACTTAGGAGCTTTGCGTCAGACATTTTTTATCACTTGGGAAATTGTAAAGGTCTTGGGGATTCTGTATGAGTAACTGGGGTGAGAGACCAAGTATTAGAACAAAAGATTCTCCTAGCACCCGTGTTTAAAAGGGTTTAGACATTCTGTGCCAGGAACCAGGGGGCAGAGCCCCTGCCTATCCACCATACCTTTACATCTATAAATCTCTGTCCATCAATCCATCTTTATGTTGACACAGTTCAAAGAAAGTTAGTACATTTTACCACCAAACACCTGAGAAATACTATCTCTAACTAGAGTTCAATTTTTTTTAGAGGTAAAATTTTCATATGGTGACATGCAGATCTTAAATGTGCTATTTGATGAATTTTGACATATATATTCACCTGTGTAACCCAAACCTCTATCAAGAGGTAAAAGAGGTTGTTGCCTTTTTTCTCCTCTAGGATTTTGATATCTCTCCTTTTTGAGTTTATTTTTGTGTATGGGGTAAGAAAGTGGCCCAGGTTCATTCTTCTGCATGTCACTGTACAGTTTTCCCAACACCTTTTGCTGAAGAGACTTTTCCATTGGATACTCTTTTCTGCTTTGTCAAAGATTAGCTGGCCATACATTTGTGGGCCTATTTTTGGGTTCTGTATTCTGTTCCATTGGTCTATGTGTCTGGTTTTGTGCCAAGAAGTCGTTAAATTTTTAAGTATTTGAAGAATGTCCAGGTATCTTTCTGATATTGGTTTCTAATTTAATTACTTTTGGTCAAAGGATATACTTTCTGTGAATTTTATCCTCTTACAAGTATTGAGAATCGGTCAATTTCCTAGTGTATAGTCTTTCTTGGTTAATATCCCTTGTGTATTTGAATGTTTATTCCTCAGTTTTATGTAATGTTCTCTAACTGTTGCTTAGATGCAGATGATTAATAATGTTCAGATCATGTCTGTCTTTATGGATTTTTTTGTCTAGTTAATCTATCATTTCATGAGAAGAATATTGAAATATTAACAACTATGATTGTGGAGTTGTCTGTTTCTCCCTTTCATTCTGTCCATTTTTGCTTCCTGTATTTTGAAGCTTTGTTATCAGGTACATACACAGTTGTAAATTGTCATGTCTTCTGATAAATTGACCTTTTAATTATTTTGAAATATTTCTCTTTGTCTCTAGTAATACATTTTGTCTTGAAGCTACTCTATATGATACTAATATAGACATCCTAGCTATATCTTATGTTTCTTGTCTATTTGCTCTTTTTCCATCCTTTTATTTTCAACCTCTTTATATTTAAAATTTATTTCTTATAGATAGCATACATACATATTTCTTATAGATAGCTTTTAGATATAAAGAAATAGATAAATTCCGACTATCTCTGCCTTTTAATTGGGGCAATTAGCCAATTTTAATTTAATATAAAATGTAGGATTGAGTGAGGATTGTGATTTTACTAATTGTTCCTCGTGTATGTTATCCTTTTTTTCCTTTCTATGTCTTTGCATTTTTTTTTTTTTTTTTTTTTGTAGTGATTACCCCGGGGATTGCAATGTACATCTTTAATGTTTCTTTCTTTTCAGAGTTAGTATATTAATATTTCTATAAAATGTCAGAACGTTGAACACATCTCCCTTATCTTTTATGCCATATAACAGCTATATAAATTAATAACACTAAAATATAATGTTATGATTTTCAATTTAAATGGTCACATGCATTTTAAGGAAATTTATAGGAAAAAACTCCTCTATTAACTATGTATTTACCTTTTTTGTTGCTCTTCATTTCTTCCTCCAAGCTTTCTATTTAATACTATAGGAAAAACTCTTTCTATAACATCTTACAACAATAGATCTTAACTGTGGTGTTACTGGCTTTTAGGGCACATTGGCAGTTTGTGGAAACATTTTTGGTTGTTACAACTGGAATGGGGGAGTGGTGCTACTGGTATCTAATAGAATGCTCAGAACAACAAAGAATTATCTGGCCCAAAATGTTGGTGCTGAGATAGAGAAACCCTAGCTTATGGAGAAGGTTCTGGAAAGAGTTAATGAAATATTACCCTCCCCCCCTTTTTAATACACTTTTCACATGCACCTTTTAGGTTTTCTTACATCAATCATATGATTTATTGGAATTGAATAAATATAACGTACCATTGTATGGCTAATGAGGATACATAAGTCATATTTAAGGATACATAAGATACTTACATGTATGCCTGGTTTTGTTACAATAGTTTGTGTTAGAACTACTGTAAATAGCTTTTTACAAATGAGTAAAGAGATACATATTTTTGAAGTGACCTCTGTGCATTCCTGACAGCTGGGTTACTTTAACGGAAGTACCTTGAGCTAGAAATAAAGTTTTTTCTCCCTCTTTGCAAAAAAGTAGCCTATAATTAGCATTTAAGCTTAAGCATTTAAGCTAACAATGACTCCCTTACACCGTTTTTATTTGAGCTGGACAAGAATAGTTTCAAATATTTTATTTTTTTCATATTTTCACAATTGAGTTGGGGGTAGGAATTTTATTTGGCCTTCAGATTTATTGAATCCACCTAATAATAGTTTATTTTCATGGTGGGATTATCTTGTCTCATCTAATCAAAATATTTTTAAAGAAACAACTTAGAGTTTATATAGTTTATAAGGGCAAGCACAAAACATTACGATGCCAAACATAAACAAATACCATTTCCTTTTTGTAAAATAGGTTGGACAGCACTTCATGAAGCTAGTGTAGGAGGATTTTATCAGACAGCAAGTGAACTGTTAAAAGGTGGAGCCGATGTAAATATCAAAGGAATGTTCCAGATCACTCCCCTACACGATGCTGTCATAAATGGACGTTATCAGGTACTGTGATGCTTTTGTTTGCAGATCAAATACTACATTCTACAGATACTAAAAATCTCAGGAAGCTAGCAATAGGGATTCACTTATAGTTTATTCTTCTAATGGGTACTCAGAATGTGGAATAAAGTTTTACTTTGTGATAGACTTATTGTGTCTCATATGGTAGATGCTATTTTATGTGTTACTTTTAATAACTACAGGTAGTGTTTGGTTACACATAGTATTTTTTTTAATGTTTCTTTATGTTTGAGAGAGAACACAAGTGGGGAAGGGTCAGAGAGAGGGGGTAACAGAGGATCTGAAGTGGGCTCTGCACTGACAGCAGCAAGCCCAATATGGGGCTCAAACTCAAACTATGAGATCACAACCTGAACTGAAGTCAGACTCTAAGCCAGCTGAGCCGGCTAGACGCCCCATGGGTACACATAGTATTTTTTATTTTTATTTTTTAAGTTTATTTATTTTTGAGAGAGTGGGGAAGGGACAGAGAAGAGAAGAGAAGAGAAGAGAAGAGAAGAGAAGAGAAGAGAAGAGAAGAGAAGAGAAGAGAAGAGAGAATCCCAAGCAGATTCCATACTGTCAGTATGGAGCCTGATGAGGAACTTAAACTCACGAACTGCAAGATCATGACCTGAGTAAAATCAAGAGTCCAATGTTTAACCAACTGAGCCACCCAGGTGCCCTCACATAGTATTTTTTAAACTTATATACTTCTTTAGACTATTTCAGTATGGTACTCTATAGGTTTTAGCAGAACGTTTTCTGCTTACAGAGTGTTAAACGGTGATGTCCAGTCCCGATAGGAGGCATACACCTTTTTGGACACTAGTGTTACTTTCAGAGTCCATATAAGATATGAATCTCTTAGATTTAATGATTAACTAGTACATACTAGCATAGATGTACTACTGTTTAAAATATCAAAATACTATAGTTCCATACAAATTGGTAGCTACTATAACGATAATATTAATTAAGATGATCAGTTTCAGCACATGCAGTTTATTTCAGAAATAAACTTACATTCTGAGCTTGCCAGACATTTTCTGGTTCAGAACATTACCGGATTGAGATACTTGCTGAAAATACTAATGTTTTTTTATCTCATGTATTGGAAGTTGCCTCTGGGTTCAAACTCCTAGGGTAGAAAAGGGAGCTAATCAGCTGAGCTCGGGAAGTTATGATACACTTGCTTCCAAGAAGAAATGACTAACAAATAGATCTGGGGAAGGCTTCTGGGAGCCATGGGCATGGACACAGCATAACCCTTCCTAATGTGAAACAGTACTTCAGGAAAGTTTAGGTTCTTTTGCCTTCTTTTGATACTGTATCACTTATTAGTAGGTGGTCACCCTCCACATTGTAGAGAAAGCTGGGTGGGGAGGGGAATTCTGCCTGGGACCTAATTGAATGGCCAGAAGAATGCAGGCTTGGACAGGTGGTGGTGTGAGCCCTCTCTGTCCTTTACTCCCTCTTCAAAGCTGGCCTCCAGCAGAGAAACCTCATGCCAAAGCAGTTCTTCCCTCTCCTTTTGGCCCATCTGCTTTCCCAACTATTCAGGGCTGACTTAACCCTAGTCAAAAGTTTTTTCCCCCTTTGGGCAAGGTGAGCCCTGACCACTTCACTTTTTCCTCCTTTCTTTCTCAGTTCTTCCTTTGTCCCATCTGGTAACTCGACTTTAGTCAGTTTCTGCCTCGCAGGCTATAACTGGCTATCTTCTGTCTCGCCTTTGCAGACATATAGCCTTCTCTTACTCCCTCAGTGAAGTAAAAGGGACCAAGGACACACACCTTTGACTCCAGAATCTAGTTACCTCGCTCCTATCTCACTCCCTCATGCCAACCTTTGTGTTCCTATAACTGATGTGCTTTTGGCACCGTGGCGTATCCTGACTGATGGCGGGAGAAAAGAGAATGGCAAGATGGAAGTTGAAGTCCAGAGAACAGTCTTAAGAATTAAAAGCTGAAACCTGGTGGGGTGGGATGAAGTCACAGTATTCTTTGTTCCTTCCCATTCTGTTTAGCTGGGGGGAGCCAGAAAGTTACTTCACCCAGTCCAAGAGAGATTTCCAAAATTCCAGGTCAGTTCTGGACTGACTTAAGAACCAAAGCCTTAAAAATCAAAGTAGGGTAGGATGTTGTTTTGGAGGATGGAGTAGGGATAGCTTGAGCATCAGATGAGGATCTAGGCTAACCTTGGGGAATCTCATATGTAAGGCAAAGATGATCAGAGAAATGGTCTAGACTCTGGGTATTGCTCCCATGCATTACTTGTTATAGGACTAAAAATGTCAAACCAAGGAAGTCGTGGGAACCTGATACTGGATCAGGCACCTGGAGAGGGTGAGTTTCTTAAATACTCCAGAGTTGAAGGAACTTGAATGTATTATCTTACAGGAATTAACTTTTATACTAAAAGGTGGGAGATCCTAAAAGATAATAACCTATTTTTTAAAAGCTAAAAAGCCATTAAAAATACCTTGTATGATTCCATTTGTTTGAAATATTTGCAGTAGTCCAAACTTTTAGAGACAGAAAAGATTAGGAATGGAAGGTGGGGACTTGCCTGGGTGGCTCAGTCGGTTAAGCGTCCGACTTCAGTTCAGGTCATGATCTCATGGTTCGTGGGTTCAAGCCCCGTGTTTGGCTCTGTGATGACAGCTCAGACCCTGAAGCCTGCTTTGGATTCTCTGTGTCCCTCTCTCTCTGCCCCTCCCCAACTTGTGCTTGCTTTCTCTCTCTCTGTCTCTCAAAAATAAATAAAAACAAAAAAATAAAGGAAGGTGGGGAATGGGGTGTAACAGTTCATTGTTAAAGGGTTTCTTTTAGGAGAAATTAAAATATTCTAAAATTAGATGGTGGTTATAGTTATACAACTCTCTTAATATACTAAAAACCATTGAATTGTATTTTTTAAATGGGTGAATTGTGTGGCATGTAAATTATATGTCAATATAATTACATTTTCCAATATGGTAAAGGTGGGATTTGAGAATTACAAATGATTGGCTCATTGTGATTCCTTAGAAAAATCTGGAACAAATTATTAGACACATAGACATTTAGATAAGAATGCAGTGATCTTTGAGAATCTGTAGGCATCCCTAAGAACAAGTCATGTCAGGCTAACCTTGACTTCTCTTTTATTAGGTTTACTTTGTTAATAGGTGAAGGAAATGGCATGACAAGTTGATGTAAGCTATCATGATTTTAACAAAGCTTTTATTTGATGAAGTGTTGTATGGTGTATGAGTATATGAGATGTTGACTTGGAGGTTGGCTGACAGTGTTACTTAGGTTCACGTGTATTGAGAAAAACATCCCTTAAACATGGTGATTATTCATTCCACATGTGTCTGTAGTGAAATCTCTTCTAAAGTTTGATTGTATATTCTGTTACACTATAAAGAGCCAAACTCCCTCAACAGGCTGGAACATGACTTGTGTGTTGTTGATACTGGAAATATTTTAAAAGAAATCACAGGTATTATACCATTGTACTCATAAATACTTGAGCCTGCATTTCTGACAGATAAGAACTTTTCTTACACCCACAACATCATCCTACCTAATATAGTTTCTTTTACTATTTAATATCCAGTCCATATTAAAATTTCCCAGTTTATCTAAAAAATGCATTTTTATAGTAAGCTTTTGTTTGAATCAGGATCCATCAAGGTCCATATATTACATATGTTTGTTGTGTGTCTTAAGTGTGTTTTAACCTATAACAGTTCTTCCTCTATTTTGTGTTTTCTTAGGGGTTCTAGAATCTTGGCTTTTGTCTTAAAGAATTTCCTAAATTCTGGATTTGGCTAATTTTATTTTTGTGGTGTTGTATAGCTTGTTTCTTCTTATATTGTCTGTAAGTGGATAGTCTATTTAGAAATCACAATCTGGGTGCTAGGTGTGCTCATTGCTATGGGATATCATTGCTTTTAGGCATTTTCAGTAAAATACATATTTTTAGAAAGAAAAATTATTAATTCATACTGATATTTCTTTTTTTTTTTTTAACATTTATTCATTTTTGAGAGACAGAGACAGAGTGTGAGTGGGGGGAGGTGCAGAGAGAGAGAGGGAGACACAGAATCTGAAGCAGGCTCCAGAATCTGAGCTGTCAGCACAGAGCCTGTCGCAGGGATCAAACTCACAAACTGCGAGATCATGACCTGAGCCATAGTCGGATGCTTAACTGACTGAGCCACCCAGGCACCCCATACTGATACTACTATTTCAAACTTAATATTATACATTTACATTTAACTAATTTTATACTTATGTCTCTTTTTCTCTTAGGCTCAACATTTGTTTCTTAAAAATTACTTATTTCTTTATTGTATAATATACTTATTACTACCAACAATATTATTATCCATGTTAACAATGTTATTATCAACAATGAAACTACTAATGAAGGGTTTTTTGTAGTTTTTTCTGTTTTGTGCAGATTTCATTAGTTCTGTATAGTCAAAATACTGTCTTTTCAAGTACTTGAAAATATTTTATTCTCTAAATATTATGCTAAGTGAAATAAGTCAGTCAGGGAAAGATAAATACCATATGATTTCACTCATATGTGGAATTTAAGAAACAAAACAGATGACCAAAGGGGGGAAAAAGAGAGACAAACCACGATACAGACTCTTAACTGTAGAGAACAAACTGATGGTTACCAGAGGGGAGGTGGGGGTGGGTTAAATAGGTGTTGGGGATCAAGGAGTGCACTTGTGAGTAGCACTAGGTGATGTATGCAAGTACTGAATCACTTGACTGTACACCTGAAATTACTATTACATGTATGTTAACTAACTGGAATTTAAATAGAAACTTAAAAGAATTTTATTCTCTGTCCTACTTGCTTCTTACACAAGGAAGTCAGCTGATTTTAGAGGGAAGAAAGCACTTGATTCAATAATATGCTTTGAGGTGAAAATCCATAAGCAAACTTTAAGTAGAGGTCTACCTGTATTTCGTTAAGGAGTCTATTGTTTGACCAGCCAAATAAAGAGGATTGTGATGCCAGCCACTTCCTGAAATTGTTCTGCTTGTTTGAGTTAACCTGTGGTAGCTTTTTTTTTTTTTTTAATTTTTTTTTTCAACGTTTATTTATTTTTGGGACAGAGAGAGACAGAGCATGAACGGGGGAGGGGCAGAGAGAGAGGGAGGCACAGAATCGGAAATAGGCTCCAGGCTCTGAGCCATCAGCCCAGAGCCCGTCGCGGGGCTCGAACTCACGGACCGCGAGATCGTGACCTGGCTGAAGTTGGACGCTCAACCGACTGCGCCACCCAGGCGCCCCAACCTGTGGTAGCTTTAAAATATGTCCACAAAATTTTTAATAGTCCTCCTTTCAAAAGGTAAAGCCTGATTCTCTTCCCCAAGATTGTGAGCTGCAGTGTCAGTGAGTTGCTTCTAACAATTAGGATGTAGCAGAAGTGACAGTATATGACTTTCAAGGCTATGTTAAAAGTATTGTAGCTTCTTCCTCGTTTTCTCTTCTCTCTCTCAGGTCATTAAGTGTGAGGCTAGGTGTCATATCATGAGGACACATAAGTAGCTCTATGGAAAGGTCTTTGTGACAGTGAACTAGGGCCTCTCCGTCTCACACCCATGTGAGGGAGCCATCTTAGAAACAGATCCTGCAGCCCCAGTCAAGCTTTTATATAATCGTATCTCCAACCGACCTCTTGACTACATCCTCATAAATAACTCTGACCAGACCTCCAGCCCCCACCAGTGTCTCCCCGGGTCACCTGCTTTGGACCTCCACCCTCACCTTGGCTTGAAATAGACCCACGCTGTTCCTGCTCCACCATGGGCTCCTGCACCTGCGCCAGCTCCTGCAAATGCAAAGAGTACAAATGCACCCCTGTAAGAAGAGCTGCTCCTCCTGCTGCCCTGTGGGCGGTGCCAAGTGTGCTGAGGGCTGCATCTGCAAGGACGCATCTGACAAGTACAGCTGCTGTGTCTGATGTCGGGGGAGCCCATTCCTGATGGAAATAGAGCAGCATGTACAAACCTGCAGTGTTTTTACTTTTTCATACTACCTGGACCCAGTCGTTACATTCCTGTTTCTATGAAATACTTGAATGACAGTAATCCCATCTAGACTCTTTGGCAAAAAAAAAAGAAAAGAGAAGAGAAGAGAAACTCAGAACCACCTACCTGTGCCGCTCCCAAATTGTTGATCCACAGATACTGTGAGATTATAAATAGTTATTCTTGTTTCAAGCCACTAAATTTGGGGGTAATTTGTTAGGTAGCCAAAAAGAGCTAATAAAGAACCTAAATGCAAGTTTAAAGTATGGGAGAAATACTCAGGAAAAGTCATTTATTTATTGCCTTTTGGTGAGAAGAGAGTGCTTCAAATTAGAGGATATGTAAGGCAGAATTCATAATATTAAGGCTAGAGAGGGAAAGAGTAAGTGTGGATATTTGGTGAAGCAAACTATCCATTGTCTAAATCAGAGACTTTCAAAGTAATGTATCCATTTCCTGGGAATTACCAACTCAGATTTCTAGGAAAGTGAGGTTCTAGCCCCTGCCTTTTCCTTTCTCCCAGTCCTCTTTCTCATGCTCCTTGTTCCTAAGTCACTCTCACACTAGATGGTTTTTCTTTTCTTTTATGGTAAATGTTGAAACGCTTTTTTTTTTTTTAATTTACATCCAAGTTAGCATATAGTACAATAATGATTTCAGGAGTAGATTCCCATAATTTGTCTCCTATGTATAACACCCAATGCTCATCCCGACAAATGTCTTCCTAATACTCCTTACCCATTTAGCCCATGCCCCCACCCACAACCCCTCCATCAACTCTCAGTTCTCTATAAGTCTCATGTTTTGTCCCCCTCCCTGTTTTTATATTATTTTTGTTTCCCTTCCCTTATGTTCATCTGTTTTGTCTCTTAAAGTCCTCATCTGAGAGAAGTGATATGATCTTTGTCTTTCTCTAATTTCACTTAGCATAAAACCATTTAGTTCTATCCATGTTGCTGCAAATGGCAAGATTTCATTCTTTTTGACCGAGTACTACTCCATTGTATACATATATACCACATCTTCTTTATCCATTCATCTGTTGATGGACATTTGGGCTCTTTCCATACTTTGGCTATTGTTGATAGTGCTGGTGTAAACACTGGGGTGTATGTGCCCCTTTGGAACAGCACACCTAGTAGTGCAATTGCTGGGTCGTAGCGTAGTTCTGGTTTTAATTTTTTGAGGAACCTCCATATTGTTTCCAGAGTGGTTGCACCAGTTTGCATTCTCACCAGCAGTGCAAAAGAGATCATCTTTCTGTGCATCCTCACTGCGTGGATTATTATTTGACACAGAATCTCGAGATAAACAGCACAGCCCTGTTGGCAACTCCCTTGGAAAACTTCTTTTCCTAAAAGAAAGCTGTGTACTCTGTGTTTTCTTTGCTGAACAAAACATGAAGATCCAGACATAAATTTGTTATCTACTGTTACCTGGCTTGTATATGAATTATAGGTTTAATTATATCTATTATTACTTTCTATTTCCCTATCTAATATTAAATTCTCATAATAATTTGAAAAGTAGAATTGCTGAGTCTTAATAATTTTTAGAGGATCTAGCTTATATTGTCCCTTTGTAGTGTTATGTTTTTCACTCCTAGAATGCTTTGTTATAAAAGGAAAAATGTATATATATTTAATTTGGGGGTATATATAATTTACACAAATTTGGGTCCTTTCTGTCATTCCAGATACTAACATGGAAATTTAGGCTCTGTTTAGTGTTTGTAGTGTTACTTAAAGCCTACTTCCGACATCCTCCCTGATTATATTCTTCTTTTTTTTTTTAATTTTTTTTAATGTTTATTTATTTTTGACAGAGAGAGAGAGACAGAGACAGAGCATGAGCTGGGGAGGGGCAGAGAGAGAGGGAGACACAGAATCCGAAGCAGGCTCCAGGCTCTGAGCTGTCAGCACAGAGCCCGACGCGGGGCTCGAACTCGTAGACCGCAAGATCATGACCTGAGCAGAAGTCAGATGCTCCACCGACTGAGCCACCCAAGCGCCCCTATATTCTTCATGTATTAAACAGTACTTAGTGAATATTTACTGTTTGTCAGACACTGAGATAGGCACTGGGAATATAAAGATGATTAAGACATATACCTGTAGTAAAAACTTGGAAGCAACTTAAACATCTGTCAATAGGGTACTTAAATAAAATACAGGGGCGCCTGGGTGGCTCAGTCGGTTGGGCAACTGACTTCGGCTCAGGGCATGATCTCGCAGTCCGTGGGTTCGAGCCCCGCATAGGGTTCTGTGCTGACAGCTCGGAGCCTGGAGCCTGCTTCGGATTCTGCGTCTTCCTCTCTCTCTTCCTCCCCTGCTCGTTCTCTGTCTCTCCTGTCTCTCAAAAATAAACATTAAAAAAAATTAAAAAATAAAATAAAATACAGTACATTCATATAGTACATTCAGTAGTAGACTATTAGCTGCTAAAAAGAATGAGAAAGTTCATTTTATACTGACATGGTACAATTTCTAAGCTCTTTTGTTGGGGGAGGGGCGGCAAGATATAGAGGAATGTATATATTCTATGGCCACTTGTGTAAGAAGAAAATCTGTACATATTTGTATGTATACATACATATATACATGTTGGACTAGATTAACTCAAAAAATTCAGAAGAAACTATAGTACTTAAAAAAATTAGATGACTGAAATTCAGGGATAGAGGAGGAAACTTATTTTTCATTGTATACTTTTCTGAGTCTTCTATATTTTGAACTATATTCATTAATTTCCTATTCATATGTAATTAATTTTAAAAGAAAGACATAGTCCCACCCTCAACAACCTTAGAGTGCCCAAGAGACAGATTAATAAGAAATAAGTGTAATATATATTGGGCACTATGGTAAAATATGTACCCAAAAAAAGGCAGCAGCAGTGGATGAGGAGGTCAGGGAAAGCATCATGAGGAGGTAACTTGAGGAGTAGGAACAATTAAGGATTGACTGGTTTCTTTCTCCCTGACACTGGGGAGGAGCAACGGCAACACAGCTACAGATGGAAGATGACATAACCATCTCCTGGAACATGTCAAACTTGTATTTACTACTACAGAACCGACACCTAATTCTCGGTGTACCTCTAGATCCGTTTCACCAGCACCTGAACTATCTATATTTCTGATCTTTCCTTCCTCAGTCTTTCCCTCCTTCCCTCTCCCTCTCTGCCCCCTCCCTTTCCCCCTTTTTCTCTATTTTTGTAAGAGAAAGGATATGTGTATCAACAAATTATGATTCAGTAAGTTGCATTAATTTTTTTATTGGGCAAAGATGTTACAGATAAACCCAAGCTCTCTTGTTGAAAGAAATATCCAATGTTGCTTAGAGTTGTAAGCCAGCACACATTTGCAATAATATACCTTTTGTCTGGGCACGCTCACATGAACGGTCTTCCTGTAGGTGGCAGCGTTACTTCTTTTGAATGGAGCTGATCCCTTACTTAGAAGTGACAATGGAAAGTGTGCTTTGGATGAGGCCAAAGATTCACGTATGAAGCGTCTCCTTGAGAAATATATTCCTAAACACCAAAAACATCTTACATCAGGTAAGATTAAACTGGCCTGTTATATCTGTTCATCATGTTGGTAGAGAGTTACAGGAATTGAATTTAGAATTACAGAAATTAAATTTCCTTTCCTCCTTAGTTGTGAGAACGTCTATCCAGTGGTGTCCTTGCTCCATTCCTTTAGTAAAGCACACTGACTTGTTTCCAAATGCACATAATGTAAGGACTCCAAAAGAACAAAGAGAAAAAAGGGATAATATCAAAGGTACTTTTTCCTAGTTGTGCATTACAAAAGTTAAGAAAACTTTTATAAAGTTCTGGTCCCCCCACTCCCCTGACAGTTTTTTGGCTAACATGATATGATGTAGTTCGGTGAGTATGGTCAGGATTGTTTTTGTTTCCATCCCCTAAGAATCTTCTCCTATGGTTATATTTTTGCCCTGTAATCCATTACACTGTTAAAAATTGAACTACCAAAGAACTTGATTTATAGTTGTCAATAACAAGGTTATAAGACTAATTTACATGCATGACACTTTCTTTATATTCTCCTTAATGCATCTGTTAGATTTTTTGGTAAGATCACAGCATTCCTCTGCTCAAACCCTGCAGTGGCTTTCCATTTAATCTAGAAGAAATGTCAGCATCCTTACAGTGGCATACAGGCCCCTATATGAGCTGGCCACCCAACCAGTTAACTTCTACCATTCTCTACCTCTGTCTCTCAGCTTCAGTCACACTGGCTTCCTTGCTGTTTCTCAAATATGCCTCTTCCACCTCCTTCAAGTCTTAGTTTAAATGTCATCTTCTCAGGGAGACCTCGACCATCCTATTTAATACTGCAACCTTACCTCTTTGCCACCCTCACCATATTAGTTACCTATCTCTATGCAAGTTACCCGAAATTTAGCATCTCAGAATACCAAATGTATTATCTCTCACAGTTTCTGAGGAGTAGAAGTCTGGAAGCAGTTTAACTGAGTAACCAGTTCTGAATCAGTGTCTCTTACAGGTTGCAGCCAAGCTCTTAGTGAGGAATGGTCATCACAAGGCTCGGCTAGGGCAGGAAAATCCACTTTGAAGCTCATTCACCTGGCTATCGGCAGGCCTCATTGCCTCACTGCTCATTAGCTGGAGGTTTCAATTACTTGCCACCGGAGCTTTCTCCATAGAGCTGCTGACAGCCTTGTAGCTGGCTCAGAGCAAGTGATCTAAGAGAGAATGCACCCAAGACAGAGGCCCCAAGCTTTCTATAAACTAATCTTGGAAGCACTTATGCCATATTCTATTTGTTCTAGTAAGTCACTAAGTCTACGAAGTTCCACCTTTTGAAAGGAGGAAATACCAAAAATTTTATGAACATATTTTTCAAACTGCCACACTCCAATCCTTCTTACCTTATATTACTCTTCTATTTATCCCTTTTCCGTAGCACTTAACACCTTCTAACACATTGGACAATTTGTTTATTTTTTATTTTCAGTCTTCCCCCACCAGAATCTAAGCTCCATGAAGGAAAGGATTTGTGTTTAGTCTGGTGATGAATACTTAAGTGCCTTGTACCCAGTAGGCGTTGAGTAAATATTTGTTGAATAAGTAGTGTGTCAGTCCTTTTAAACAAAACAAACAAAATAAAGTCTTTACCTTCAGGAGCTGTATGTGTGCTTCATTCACTTTTACCAAACTATATGTTAATAACATTTTCCCTAAGAGGTAACTATTTGAATGCTGTTGACAAAGAACTAAGACTTGGATGAAAACACCGTATGTTATTTTATTTATTTATTTTTTTACACTTGATCTTAGCCAAAAGGCCGAGAAGCAATATTTATTTATTTTTTGAGAGAGAGAGAGTACAAGTGGTGGATAGGGGCAGAGAAAGAGAGAGAGAGAATCTTAAGCATGGAGCCTGACAGCTGGATCCCAAGACCCTGGAATCATGATCTGAGCCAAAATCAAGAGTTGGACTCTCAGCTGACTGAGCCACCTAGGCACCCCAACACCCTACTTTATAATAACAAGATAACTTCATTGAGAATTAAAGGCCACCAAGAGGCAATTAGTTAATGGTTCTTTAGAACAAAACACTCCTTCCCCTGTAGCCCAGTCTCATCAGAAAATAAGAGGCACAGACTACACCTTGTTGAGGCCAGGTCTGTAAAAGCACATTGAGATAGATTATTCATGCTTCCATTCATTGAGATAAATTATTGCACTTATATTTACATTTCAAGCTATGTGGAAAATTGCACATATTCAGTTGGAGGCAAAAGCATGTATGTTTTTAAATTTTTGCTTTGATAATCTGCTTAATTTCTTTACTGCTCTATTTTAATAGCATACATTGTTTTGCTTTTCTGAGAGTGCTTTCTCCAGCATTATAGCCCTTTCTCCAAATCCAGAATCTCCCATTCACTAATGCCCACTTCTGACCTACACCTCCCCAAGGGAATTTCATTCATGGAAAAGGATCCCAAGCCTTTTTTCTTAGGATTTAGCTTCCATTCTTCCTTGGTGAGGGAATTTACGAAGCTGGGCTGTGTTACCATGCTTTAGTAGGTGGTTTGAATATTTCTTGTTTGAAGTTTTGAAGTCTGTCATTAATTATTAGCTGACTTATCAATATAAATGAAAAAACTAGTTGAGAGTTTCTGTTTTTAAATTTGAGTTGAATAGCTTTTAGTTATGGGAATGATGGATAAAAAACCTCCCTCATGCAATAATATTTGGTGGTTTTCTTAGAGTAAAATACATCTTCTTTGGTATAGGACAGGAGTTCATTCTTAGTAACTTTATAGCCTGAGGTATATTAACACTCAGTTTTCTCATCTGTAAATTTGGGCTTCTAATATCTGCTCCTCTACTTAGATACCTGTGGGATTGTTACTGTGAGGATAAGAGTTGATGTATGTAAGATGCTTCAGTACAGTACCTTACATATGACAGAAGCTAGGAATAACAGAGTGAAAAAAATTACAGCTACATCACCAACATTCACCACCTCAGAATTGATACCTGTATAGATTTTTTTGTTAAATTGGTTATACTAGAGCATATAGACTCTTGAAACTGAGAGGAGATTAAAGCCCCTTTCTAGCTTCCAGATTCTCTTAGGAACCATCCCCAAAATGGTGGTTCCTGTGAAATATTTTCTTGCTGTCTTATTTAAGAACCACAGTTAGGAAAAGGCACAGAGTCCTTTCTGCTCTTGAAAAAAATAAAATAAAATTAATAATGGAGCACTTTCTATGTGTCAGGACCTCCTCTAAACTCTGTACATGGATTACATGGGTTATCTTACTGAATCTCTCCAACAATTCTGTAAGATAGGGACGATTACTACCTTCATTTTATGGAACTGAGGCAGAGATATTAAGAAACTTACCCAGGGTCACCCAGCTGCTAAGCAAATGAGTAAAGATAGAAACTCAGGAGTAGCCTCCAGAGACTGTGCTCCAAGCCTGTTTGCTTCATTGAAGGACATCCTATGAACCTACTGTCTTCTGTATGAGGTGAGTAGGTGAATGCCAGGCCTCATTATGCTCGTTGTAAGTTGATTGCTATCATGAAAATTATTCCCAAGAAATAAAATATTCTTTTTTCCAGTTACATCCCTGTTAAAA